AAATGGGCTGTACCCACGGGAGTGGCTAGCAGCTCCGGTCATGGCCCAGCCCTTTCCTGGGGCACAGGCCACACCTGGGAGCAGAGCCAGCCTTCTGGGCCCTCCCCTAGACCTGAGGCAACAGCCCTGTGATGCAGATAGGGGCAAGAACTTGTGGCCCCACTTTCCAAGACAGGAAGCTGAAGCTTGAAGAGACATGTGACTTGCCTGAGGGTGGAGTGGGATCAGGACTCCCATGGGCTCTCCCACACAGGCCACAGAGGCAAAGCCAGTGGCATTAGGGTTCCATTTTGGACACAGGCATGTGTAGATGCAAAACTGTTTACGGCGAAAGGAGCGCTCTGGGGGAAGCCTCTGCAATGCTTTTGGGATCCCTTGTCCAATTGTGGGACAGCTTTCAGCCTGGCCCCCACCCTTGACCTCATGTGTTATCTGATGCCAGTCACGGAGGAGGAGATTCAGGCTGCCTTTTTACGGCACACACAGACATCTATGTGTGGATGAGTACATGGATGAGAGCATTCCTGAGTGGGTGCCGGAAGCCCGCAAGCTGGTCCAGGAAGAGAGGCTGCCCTCCACCCTGCCCTCAACCTCACCCTTGCCCCCTCAGATCCTCCGGAACAATGTGATGGTACGTGTAGGGGGCGGCTGGGACACGCTGGGCCATTATCTGGACAAACATGACCCCTGCCGCTGCACATCCCTCTGTGAGTCCCCTGAGGGTCCTCTCCCTGTGGGGTTGGTTGGAAAGGCATAACTCTGGGTTGGGAGGCTGGAGGCAGAGGTGGGAGGTATGTCTGATCTCCAGGGGGAAGAGGTATGTGGGGAGGCTGGAGGAAGGAAGGCAGTAGTTGGGCACAGTACAGTACTAAATGTCACCACAAGATGGTGTGCAACACACGCAGAAGCAGCATTTGGCCAGGGTGCATTTTGGCAGCGCTTAGGTCTGGCTCTGGGATCCACGATCCACAGTGTTGGTACCAAGTGTGACTTGGAAGATCTTTAGTTCTTCCATAATCTCCATCAATGCCTCCAGCCACTCCAAATAAGCACACGCTCTAAGGGAAAGTTGTGTACCTGCACTACAAACATAGCTTTAAACAAATCCCCCAGCTGGGTCCCCAAGCCCCTCCTGTAAAGAAACTCTGGTGTTGCCACTGTAGGTCCCACTGTTTTTAGTGTGGGGTGTGGGGCATAGGACCACTGGGGGAGGAACAATGGGCCCCATCAGCAGGAATTGAACTCTTCTCTCCTCTCCTTTCTGCGGGGCACTGTTGTTAGCACACAAGCCAGGCAACTTCCTGAAGCCCCCGGCCCCACCAGTGCAGCATGAAGTAAGGGTACAGGATGGACCCTCACAGACCCAGCCTACGATGACCATCAGCCGCTCACAGAGCCCGCCACCCCCCGTGGACTGGAAGACATATGCCTCTTCAGGCCGAAGGCTGAGGCCCCCCACCCCATCCTCCACCAGACCCCGCAGGGAACGGGGAGCAGGGGCGGGGGCCTCCAGAGAGATGGCACCATTCCTGAGGTATGGGGAAGAGATAGGGAAGGGGCTGTTTTTCCTTTGGAGTGCACATTTTCAGAGGCCACCACACTCCAACATAAAAGGAGCAGATCCCCAGCAGCGACTCTATCCTGAGACCACAGGTGTTTGGAACCAGAAGCACACCCAGTACCTTTGGGATAATGTGGTTACTTCATATGCCTTCCCATTTCACAGATGAGACTCAGAAATGGAACAGACTTACTCAAGGTTTCCTCCCATTCCACGGTAGAGCACAGACTAAGACAACCCGTGCACTCCCCTCTGTCTCTCCACTGCCCTGCAACTGGTCTGGGGCCATCCCTCGAAGGATCTGAAGTCACCTCAGGCCAGGATCAGGCTTCCTTCTATCTGCTACACAGGGAACAAGGGCACATAGACTTAGGCAGTGACTGTCATCAGGAGGATTTCAAGGCAGTCAGGGAGGAGAGGGAGCATAGGTTTCATTCAGCGTGAAGTCGAGCCCCCTGGGTGTTCTCACTGGGGAAAGACCGTCACTTCCCAGAGCCAGGGACCACACTAGATGACCCTGCCAGCCTGAGGAGTCTCCCTTTGCAGCCTTGTGATTCTCCCTTTCAGGTGCCAGGAGGGGTCTCTCACCCCATCTTGGAGGCAGCCGACAGCTGGGGACAGCCCACTCAGCCCCCAGTCCTCGTCTTCCCAAAAGGGCCGAGACCCACAGTGCACCTTGTCAGGAAAGAAGGAGGATAGATACCCCCCTGAACTCCCCAGGGGAAGGATTCCCACATCTTGGGTTCATGAAAAAACAGACAGCCAGGGAACTGATGCCCGGAACCCCACCCCACAAAGACTCCGAGACATTGAGGCCACCACCAAAGGGATATCAGCAAGAGGACTATCTCCCCTGCCTCGTTCCTGTAGCCCAGCCGAGCAACTGGGCCTCAGGCTGCCACTCCAGGATAAGGCCAAGGGTGCGTTCTTCCAGTTCAGGGAGCCAGAGTCTGTCTGTTCTCCAACCCCTATCCAAGGCCTAACCAAGATCCCCATCCGGCTGCCCTCTGCTCACCCCCCGACACCAGGAAGGAGCTTTCCTGGTGCTACAAGTAGAAGTCCCAGGACAGAACTTGGGAGAGACCCCATTCCACTAAGGGCCGTCACTGCGGACCTGGCTGGGTCCACACATGGGGACTACTCTGTGAAAGTGAGGCAGGAGGACCAGCAGTTGGACATCCAGCTCATGGCAGAGGCCAAAGAGTTCCGGGACCTGGGCCCACAGGAGCAGGAGGGGCGGTACACACCTCTGCCCCTGGGCAGGAACAAGGAGCAAGCCATCTACTGTAGCCTTGAAGAGGAGATTTTGGGCAACATGAAGCTGCTAGAAGTCGGGAGTGCCTGTCTGCAGGGCACAAGGTCTGGGGTCATCCCTCGCAGTGGGGTCTATGTCCCCAGCCTGGGTGGGCGGTGGCCTAAGCCTGGGGGTCCTTATGACAAAGTCATCCAAGAACTGGCTCAGGGCCCCCCACCCCTCCTTAAAGTGGACCTGGAAGCCTGGAAGGCAGTCCCGACTGGCTCCCCTAAGCCAGCTGTTACCCCAGGACTGGAAAGCCTCAAAGGGAAGTTGGGAGCCATACAGAGTGGGCCCAGCACAAAGGCAAGCCTGAGTGCCAAGGGCACCCACATGAGGAAGGTCTCACCTCAGGGAGGGCAGGACTGCTCGGCCCCTACTGCGTCTGCCAGCCCGGAGGCCCCCACACCTTTGCCCTTGGACCCCAACTCTGACAAAGTCAAGGCATGTCTAAGTGAGGGCAGGAGAACTCTCCGGAAGCCCAAGAGGGTCCCGTCCATCTACAAGCTGAAGCTGAGACCCAGGATCCGGCCCCGAAGAGACCACAGGCCTGAGAAGCAGCCTTCACGAATCCCCAAGCCACTGGCCTATGTCTGCCTGGGTCCAGCCAGGCCGCCCCGCAGGGACAGACTGTTGAGAGCTGTGCTGGGCAGCAAGGGAGGGGAGGCATCCCGGGTGGATGGAGCTTCAGTAGGTGAGGAGGAGGAGGAAGGAAAGGAGAAAGAGCCAGCCGCTCCATTGGAGAGCAGGCCCCAGACTCCAGAGGACCTGCGACCTCACTGGCTTGATCAAGCTCCACTTCCACCTGAGGAGGAGTCCTGGGTCTGAGGCACATGAACATGTGGGGGAGGAGGGAAGCAAAAAGAATGGTCATGTATACACTGGATTCACAGCTGCGGGAACAGAAGGGACGTTCCCTCATCTCCACACAGGGCCTTGGGCAGGAGTGGGTCAGAAGACAAATATAGACTCCATCTGCTCATTTGAGCAAAGGGGCAACCCACTGCTCTCACTCCAACTCCAGAGGTAGGCTGGGGCAGTGAGACCATCCTATATCTAATGACTCTCCCTCAGAACATCTCCCCACACTCCTGGCCCCTGACCCCTGGCCATGCCCACCTGTTTCCATAACTCCCATAAGTTATTAAATGCATGTGATTCTACCTTGAGCCCCAGCTTCTTTTTTTTAAAGTTTAGAAACAGAGTCTTGCTCTGTCACCCAGGCTGGAGTGCAGTGGCACTATCATGGTTCACTGCAGCCTCGAACTCCCAGGCTTCAAGTGATCCTCTCACCTCAGTTTCCCAAGTAGCTGGGACTACGGGTAGGTGCCATGACACCTGGCTAATTTTATTTTATTTTTTAGAGATGGGGCCTTACTATGTTGTCCAGGCTGACCTCAAGCGATCTTCCTGCCTTGGTTTCCCAAAGCACTGGGATTAAAGATGTGAACAACTGAGCCCACCTCCCCCTTCCCCCTAGCTTCTTGAGCCCCTCACTCTAGGACTGTGGTGGTGCGGGGAGGTATAGCTTCAGATATTATCCCACTGGAGGAGATGGAGACTAGGAGGAAGGAGTTGGTGGTGAGAGAGGCTTCCTCTTTTGAGGCTCAGCCAATCTTTACAGGCAGCCCCATCTTTCCTGGAAGTGGCTGGTGGGTCAGCACCACGGACAGAGACATCCTGCCCTCAACACACACGCTCCCGGAAGGCACCCTTGCCTAAGACTTCAAAGCTTTGCTCTGGAGTTTGGGTCCTGAGATCACTCAGGGACAAGACGGGTGGCTGAAAGTGTTCCTAACACATCTACATCCAAGAAGTTATGACTGAGAGGCTGCAAAGTCTCAGCCTTGAGTGGGAAGGACGAGACGCAGACGGAGAAGCTGGGATTCAGTCCCATTATGGAAATTTTCCAGACTGGCAGGGGAGAAGTTCTGCTTCCCTTCTGAATGGTTTGAATTAGTTGGAGGGTTTGGGGTTAGGTGGAAAGGTGATACATCCCAAACTCTTCACCGGTGGTCTCCCTGTTGACCTGGGCTTTGGGACTGGGGGCCACCTCACCACCTTCACCCTCCTTCCACACAGAGCTCAGCAGGCAAGCCCTGTGGGGATCCCTCCCCTCCTACCATGAGGAATGGAGCCAACACCTTGGTACAGAAACGAGGGAAAACACTCCCTGATTTTTAATCTGACTTCGGATAACAGCTCAATGGGCGTCACACACACTTCCAGACCCTGTGGTGGGAAACCCTGGGAGGGGGTGGGAGGGGAAGGACAGAGACTCAGAATGGGGGTGGAGGGACCTGAAATCCAAGACCTGGGTTGAAGTGGAGGCGGGAGGGGGCCTGTCAGGGGATACATTCCAATGGCTCCCACAGGGGAGCAGCCAGAGGCCTGGGCCCCCTCCCCCCACCTCAGGTGCCTCAGAGTTGGGGGTGATGGGGCATATGAGATGCTGCCATCCCTCATCCCCTCCCTCTGGTGAACCAGGAGGCAGGGGTGCAGGAGACTAAGGGGCAGGCCCTCTTTGTTACCCTCCCAGCCACTCTAAGGTGTGGGGAAGGGGAGCCACCTCCTCTGTGTCAGAGGGAGGCTCACAGAGGGCAGGTCACTTGCCTGAAGTCCTGCAGCACAGCAGGGACTAGAACGCAGGAACACTAGACTGCCCAAGGTCAAGGCAGTTGCTGTGGGGTTGTGCTACCCCCACTTGGTGGACAGAGTGGGAATCAGCCGGGGAAGCAGAATCATAGATTCCCCCTACAATGGATGTTGGTGATAAATTCCCCACCGACGACCCTTCCCCCAGACTCCGCTCCATCACCACTCTGGGCTACCTGATTTCCTAGTCTATATGCTGCAGCCTTGGCTAAGTTGGCCAAAGTGGAGTTGTCCTCTCTGCCTGCCTTATAACAAGGGACCCTGCCGTCCTCCCACCAGGCCAGGGCTGAGGGCTCAGCCTCAAGGACAGCTTTCTTTGGTCAGGGGGCAGGGGACAGGGCACCACTTCTCCCTCCCTCCAATTCCCGCATCAATCCCTTATGCCATTCCTAGAATCTTCACTATTATTGTTATTTCTAAATCGTTACAAAACTGACAGTGATCAGCTCCGGTGACGAGAGGTAGAAACCCGGCCAGGCAGCCGGAGAAAATGGGGCGGAGTGAGTTAGGGCATAGGGCTGACTGGTGTTGGGACAAGAGGGTGTCAGATCCTGAGGGCCTCCATCTGGGGCCGGCGGGGGGAAGATGCAGGTGTGTCTCCCCCAAGCACAGGGGTCCCCACCATTCTTTCCCTGGCTCTGTTCTTCCCCAGATTAATCAGGATAGTCTGAGATCTGAGGCAGGCAGAGTCTGGGGTAGCCAGATGGGGTTGAGACGGGGCAACAGAATCTTCACTGGGACAACCTGACCCCCTTCTGGGCACCATCCTGCCCACGACCAGACCCCAGAACCTAACATTCCCCAGTCTGACAGACCAGATTGCAGTATGCAGGAGGTAATAGAAGACTGGAACCTGGCATCATGGAAAATAAACTATCCTTTGGGGGATTCCCTTTCCACACTCTGTCCAAAAAAAGAAGAGTTTTAACCCAGGGGGTGATCTGGCTTTGGGGTCAGGAAGAGTGAGGGGCACCTGGCAGGGACGGACCATCGAGTTAAGGCTGGAAGGTAGGTTGTTGTGTCTCTGGGGGCTGCTGGGCGGGGAGGTCTCCCTGGAAGCCGGAGAGCTCAACCTTCTCCCCTCACTGATCTGGGATCTCAGCCCCCGGACCCCTTGATGGTGGTCTTTGGGCCACCCGCATCTCTGCCCTGTGCCGGTGGTGCTGACAGTCAGAAGGCCTGGCCTCACAAAGAAGCTGCCAGGATCTGCGACAAGGGGATGGACGAAATGAGAGCCCTGTGAGCGGAGCTAGGGGGGACTGGAGGGTGGGTGAGACAGGTAAGGACCAACAGACGCTTGGGTGGGCGGACATGGGAAAGGAAGACACCCGGCAAAGACAGACACATTCTGGAAAAGACAGGTGGGGGCCCGGCCAAGGCGGCACCTCGCCACCCCCACCCTCCATTGCACGCTCACCCCCATCCCAAAAGGCTGTGGCACCCCCGCGGGTCGGGCCGGGCACTGCACTAAATACAGCACTGAAGACGGCTGTCCCAGGAAGCCACGGGGGCAAGGGGCAGGGCTTAGCAGTTACTGGGGGCTCCCTCTCGCGCTTTGCTTCCCACCGGGAGATGCGTGGCTGCAGGGGCCTCAGGCCGGGACCGTCACAGTTCCATTTCCCGCCCGCTCCCCGCCCCAGCCCCGCAGTACAGCCCCACCCTCCGCCCGGCCAGTGCCGGTGCAGCCCGCGGGGCGCGCAGGTGTCACATGATGGCGCAGCGGTTTCGGCGCAGCGCGCCCTGGAAGCGCAGGGCAGCGTGCACGTGCTTGCACCGGGCGCAGCCGACGCTCTTGAGCAGCTCGCTAAAGAGCAGCAGGATGTGCCAGTTGTACTTGGCCGAGCATTCCACGTAGCCGCACTTCCACGTCTTGCGCACCAGGTGCGACACGTTCCAGCGCGGGATCACGCGTCCACGCTGCAGGTCCCGCTTGTTGCCCACGATGATAATGGGCGTCTCTGAGGTGCCGATCACCCTGCGGGGCGAGGCAGGAAGCTCAGAACTCTGTCAGTCTCACAACCGTTGTACTCCCAGCAGGGCAGGCTGTGCCTGGCCAATACTACCACCACCGTATGTTCTGCTCCAGGCGCAGCCCTAAGCCCTGGAGGTGTTATAGTCTCTGATCAGCACAACTGATCTAAAAGATGGGTTCTACTGTTATCCCCATTTTACAGATGAGGACATAGGCTTAAATGTTTACTGGCTTCAAGTCATGCAGCTGAGTGGCCCTGGAAGTCTTGTTCCAGAAGTCCCAGTTCTTAACTACTGCACTACTCTAGCCACCCCCACAGCCAGGGTCCCAACATGAGTTAACAGAAATGGGGACAGCACAATGTATGCATGTTTGAGTGTATGTGTGGGAATCTTAGAACACATATACCTCTGGCTCTGTCCCTATGCTGCCCCCTTTTCACAGGGACTGGCTAGCACTGGGTCATCCACAGAAGTGGCAATGGACTGTGTTCCAGCCTCTCACCTCGTCTCCAGGATCTGCTGGCGGATAGTCTTAACGTACTCAAAGCTGTCAAAGCAGCAGATGTCGTAGACCAGGATGTAGGCGTGGACGCTCCGGAGTCCCCTGCAGCAGGCGTCTGCCCACTCCTGCAATATCCCCAGCCAGTACCAAGGTCAGAGCAGCCATGAGGGCTCCCCTAGCCCCCAAACATCTCCCATCAGAGGGGCAGTGCTCTCACCTGCCACTGCACCTGAAGCCTTCCATACCTGCTCATCCCCAGGAGACCAGGCCCAGGGAGAATGGAGGAGCTGTAGCCTCCCCATTCCCAAGCCAGGATGGAGCAGGTCACATTGTTTGACCTTTGTGCACATCTGGAACTTAGTTCTGCCTTGCTCCATTTTGTCCCCTCATCCATCCCTCGAGGCCTTTTCTCAACAAGTACATTTATTAAGTACCTCTAAGAGTCCAGCTCTGAGCTGGGTGTTGGAGCTGTTAAAATTCTATCTTCCAAGGCTCAGCTGAAGTGCCACTGCCTCCAAGAAGCTTCCTGATTTCCCATCCTTCCTGCAAGCAGGGGACTACTCCCTTCATCTCCTGTGTTCTAACAATCCTTCGATTACACTTTCATTAGAGCTGTTCCATCTCCAGTTCCCCACTTCTGCTGTGAGCTCCTGAGAGGGCCACAGCCAGGCTGTCCTCATTTTTATATACTCCCTCTTCCTCTCTGAGTGTCAAAGCAGGTGCTCCTTAATGCCACTACCTGGGCTGGTGAGCTCTCCGTAGCCCCATCTGGGATCAATGCAACTCCTGCCTCTGCCACTGCCCTTAGACTGCTACCTGATGTGCCCCTTCTGTATGCTCATCTCTGCCCTCAGGCTTGAGAAACAGAAAAAGATTCAGACTGGATGCATAATGGGCTGACGTAGAGCAGGGCCCCAGGGAAGCTCCAGGGAGATGAACTTCCTGAATGTTTGTGCAGCTTCTCAAGGGATTGCGGGGTATAGCTCAAGATGAAGAGACTCCTAGAAAGGCCAAGTACACTAAAGAGAAGTTTTCTTAAGAGATTCATTAGTCAACATGCCAGTAGTTACAACTGCAAGAGTGGTTTCAGGCAGCCAGTGTGTGGAAAGAAGTGGGTCCCTAAAGTTGGGGGACAGAGGCCTCCAAGGACAAAGGAAACCAGTCTTCTCCCACCAAAGCTCAGGCAAAAGACTAGAAGAAGGTGGAGGTATGTCTCCTGTCCCAGCATCTGAGTCAAGTGGGGCAGGGGCCAGGCACAAAGGAGGACTACAGTTCTCCACTTCCAAGAAGGATCAAAAGGAAATGACTTTGGTGGCAGTAGTGCAGAGTTAAGTCCAACTTCAGAACAGCACTTCCCAACTCAAAGGCTTAGAAGATGCTGCAGTGGATTTCCCTAGGGAGATGATGTGGCATCTTTTCTTTGTGCTGAGGTTTAAATTTTTGGTGCAGCAGGAGGATGCTGAGGACAAACCTAAAACCATAGGAAACTGAACTGGTTTCTTAGGCCAGGGAAGACTGCATTCTGCTAGACACAGTGATCTCCAGGAGCCTGGAGCCTGTGCATACAGATGCTCCTCTGATCTCCCAAGACGAGTGAGAGATCAATGAGAAGTGGGAGGGATGAGAGGCTCCCAGTCTCTTCAATCTCTCTGCTGGGGAGAGGGAGCAGCTGCCAGCTTTTGAGGGTGACGGGCCCACCTCTCCCCCAACATGTTGCCTCCTTGAGGGGACCTCCTGGCTTCCTCCCACCCACTCCTCTCTGGGGGTTCCTAAAAGAGAGAGGAGGAAGGCCCCTGATTGGTTAGCTTGTCCCTTCTCCCTTGATTGAAGGGAGGAAGCAGGTTTCCAAACTGTAAAAGGTCATCTTGGGGCTGTGTCAAAACAGAGAAGGAGCAATGCAAAGGGAGTCCAGTTTCAGGGACATGCAGTCTGAGAGAGGCTCAGTCACCTGCATCTCAACCATGCATTTGCTGATAATTCCTTTGGTGGTTTGCAAGCACCTGATAATCTCAGCTTCCTTCTCTGATTGAAGGGGCTGCAGAAGACACTGAGGCTCACATCCAGGAAACACTGCTCTCCTGGGCTCTATCTCATCCGGCATTGGAGAAGAATGTATTCCTTTATTTTCAGATGGTGGCCATCAGGATTCTTAGGTTTTATACTTAATCTTTGGCACCTCGAGGATCCCTTTTTCACAGCATTTCTCTGCCGAAAGTCCCTTACTGGGCTCCTTGAGTGAAATCTTGGATATTCTAGAGTCCAAAACTCAGAGTCAGTCAAGAAGAAACAAGCCAACAACCCAATAGAAAAATGGGCAAAGGACATCAATAGTTCTTGAAAAAAGAAACACAAAGGTCCTTAAACCTATGAAAAGATGCTCAATTTCACTCATGATCAGAGATGCAAATGGAGACTACAAGGAGAATATGACATCTCATCTCTCAGATTGTCAAATATGCTGTCAAAAGTCTGAGAATATACTCTGATGGCAAGACTGCAGGAAAACGGGCTCTCATATACATTGCTCACAGGAGCACAGCATACACCACTGCTATAGAGGGCAATCTGGAAATAACCTCCCTTCAAAACTCCAGTTACAGTCACAATTTTTTTTTTTTTTTTTTTTTTTTTTTGAGACAGGGCCTTACTCTGTTGCCCAAGTTGGAGTACAGTGGCACTATCTCAGCTCTCTGCAGCCTCAACCTCCCAGGCTCAGGTGATTCTCCCACCTCAGCCTCCCAAGCAGCTGGGACCACAGGCATGGACCACCATGCCCGACTAGTTTTTTGTATTTTTGGTAGAGATGGGGTTTTGCCATGTTGCCCGGGCTGGTCTTGAACTCCTGAGCTCAAGTGATCTGCCCGCCTCAGCCTCCCAAAGTGCCGGGATTATAGGCTTGAGTCACCTCACCTGGCTCTGTATTCACCATACCATTTCCAGGCATTGTGATCCAGCAATGCCATTTCCAGCAATGCCATTTCTGGGAATTAATCCCACAGATATACCTACTTAGGTTCAAAATGACTTATCTACAAGGCTATTCATTGTGGCACTGTTTGAAATAGCACAAGACTGGATATCACCCACTTGTCCAACAAGAAAAGACTCCATGGTACAGCTCTTCAATGGAGCAGGGTGTGGCCATGAGGAAAGAACAAGGAAGTCCTCTAGATAACAGCCTGGAAAAATCTCCAGGTTATAATAGCAAGTTAAAAGAATTGAGGTACAGCGCCAAGCATAGTGGCTCACATTTGTAATCCCAGCACTTTGGGAGGCCAAAGCAGGATTGCTTGAGGCCAGGAGTTTGAGACCAGCTTAGGTAACACAGCAAGATCCATCTATACAAAAAATTTTAAAAATAAAGTCAAGGTACAGAACAGTGTGGTTCTTGCTTTTGTTTTGTTCTTTTTTTTTTTTTTTCTTCAGACGGAGTCTCGCTCTGTCGCCCAGGCTGGTGTGCAGTGGCGCGATCTGGCTCACTCTAAGCTCCGCCTCCCGGGTTCACGCCATTCTCCTGCCTCAACCTCCCGAGTAGCTGGGATTACAGGTGCCCGCCACCACACCCGGCTAATTTTTTGTATTTTCAGCAGAGAAGGGGTTTCACCGTGTTAGCCAGGATGGTCTTGATCTCCTGACCTCATGATGCCCCCGCCTTGGCCTCCCAAAGTGCTGGGATTACAGGCGTGAGCCACCGCGCCCGGCCTCCATTTTGTTCTTTATGTAAGAAGCAGGGAAGAAAGCATTTTCTTACTTGGGTAAAGAAACACTGAAAGTATGGATAAAAATCCGATAAGAGGCCAGGCACGGCAGCTCATGCCTATAATTCCAGCACTTTGGAAGGCCTAGGCAGGCGGATCACTTGAGGTCAGGAGTTCGAGACCAGCCTGGCCAACATGGTGAAACTCCATCTCTACTAAAAATACAAAAATTAGCTGGGTGTGGTGGCAGGTGCCTGTAATCCAGCTACTCAGGAGGCTGATGCAGGAGAATCGCTTGAACCCAGGAGGCAAAGATTGCAGTGAGCCGAGATCATGTCACTGCACTCCAGTCTGGGCGACAGCAGGAGACTCCATCTCAAAAATAAATAAATAAATATATTTTAAAAAAGAAAGAAAAATTCGATAAGAATGGTTATAGAGAGTGGGGCAGGAATCAGGGTAAAGGGGGCAACATGAAATAAACAAAGGTCAGTGTCTAGGCTTGGAGCAAGATTTGAATGTCCAATCAGGTGATTGTTAAAGTCTCCTTTAGAAGAGAACTAGAAGGCCCTGTGCCCAGACCGTTTCCCCTGATAGGCTCAGCCTCACTGCTTCCAGGGCAGAGGCGGGATCAGGCTTCCATCTTGCTGCTGACCCCAGGCGCCTGGGATGGGTGAACAGGTGTCTCCGGCAGATTAGGCCAGGGCCCTCCTGCCTGGTGTTGCTGAGAGTGCTGAGTGCTGAGCTGCCCACCAGCTCCCAGCCCAGGGTCGCAGCCTGAGAGACTGCTTTATTTGCTCCGTTACACCTGGACAAGCCTTGTCTCCTGCCTTCTGGGTCTCCACCACTGTGCCTGTCCTTCCTGGAAAAGCTCTGTACACTCTGGTCAGAGGCTTCCTTCAGTGAGCAAACATATCTTAGAGCTCAGCTTCCTTTTTCTCTCCACTCCCTCTCGAGTCAGAGGTTGAGAAAGGGCAAGAGGACCTGGTTCCAGCAGGCAGTGGGGAAGGAACACAGTAAGTGAGGACCCTGGGGGCATTTAAATCCAAACCTGGCAGGGAGAGTCCTGAGGTCAGGGGCAGAGCATCACTTAAGAGAAGAGGGTCTTGGGCAAGAGAGCTGACTGGGGTCTCCAGAGTCTCTGAGAACACACCTTTCCCAGGGCCCTGTCTATTCTGCTGCTGTCCCTTCTCCAGGGGACGTGGAGTGAGGCTATGGTAGGCACAGCTCTGAATACTCACTGCAGCCTACTGTTCCCTGCCCTTTTCTCTACTGCCTCTTACCTGCCTAAAACCTACTTAGTTGAGACATCACCCTCTGTGACCCCCCAACTCCACCCCAACACATCTGGACGACCTGGATGCCCCCTTAAGGGCTGCTCCAGTTCCCTGCTCCTCCAATCATAGCACTTATCACACCATGTAACAGTTGCCTGTTAGCCTTTTCTCACCAGACTATGAGTTTCTTGAAAGCAAATTCCATAAATTGTTTGCTCACCATTCTGCACCAGTGCCCACTGCAGGGCCTGGCACACATTAAACGGTCATCAAATATTTGTTGAATAAACTAGTACACCAGTGAATGAATTCCTGGAACAGCTCTAAGCAGGGTGGCCCAAGGTGCAGTGTGGAGCTCCCAAACTCAGTGATGGGGCCCTGGCAATAGGGCCCGAGCTACAGTAGGTTGGAATCCAGGCTCTCCCCTACCCATCCATTTCCCCACTAACCCATGTCCCCCAGGGTCCTCCTACCTGGAGTGTATTGACAGGGAAGGCGCTGATGGGCGGAAAGTCGAGGATCTGGAGGTCGTGTACGTGGCCGTTCATGACGACAGCAGGCAGGTAGAGGCGGCGGGCGGTGGTGGGCACGCAGACCTCGCTGAACTCGTTGTACAGGAACTGGCGCACGATGGCACTCTTGCCCACACCTCGCGCCCCCAGCACGGCCACCCGGTAGGTGGAGACCATGCCTCCCGCCCCACTCCGCCACCTCGTCCTTGCCGCTGTCTGGGGCTCCCCCGGGCTGCATATTCCAGGGGCTGGGGGCTCAGCCACCGTCAGGACCAACCATTGCTGCCTCTGCTTGCCCTGGGCCCTCTGCGGCCTCCACCTGGACTGTGGGGACAAGAGGTGGGCTTAGTGCACCAGGTTATCCCTGGACATGTCCTGCACTTTTCCACGTCTGGGACTTTGCTGAAGCTGTTACTGCCACTTGGAATGCCTTCCCTTTCCCAAAACCCCGGTGGCCACCTATCCAAAACCTCTCCATCCCTCCTCCATTTTTCCCTGCATTCCAGTAGTAGGACCCAATCTTTCTTGACTTATGACCTGACTTTTCTCCAGGTCCAACTCCAACCAAAACAGGCTGCAGAGCAGAGTGGGAAGGGCACTGGACTTGGTTTGATCCCAGCTTCCCCACAGAGCCTGGGATAACACGGCAACACCTCTGAGTCTGTGTCCTTCTGAGTGGCTGGGACTGGGCAGGTGTGTCTCAGTGCCGGCACTCCTGACGTTTAGTGGGGACAGAACTCGATTGTGTAGGACTGCCCACACATCGCAGGACATTTGCTTTCCATGGCTCCCAAGAGGTAGCTGCCAGCAGCAGCCTCCAGACACCATGATGACCAAAAACTCCCTCTCCCCCCATTTCCAAATGCTCCTAGTTGAGAATTCTGCACTAGATGACCATGTCGCCTCTGGGGCGCAACACTGCTGAGCACTTACTCTGCTGGCATGCCCATATGGGTATCCGTGGTCAGTACGACATCTCTGAGGGATAGGTACTGTTATTCCCACTTTAGAGACAAGCTTAGAAGGAGTAAGAAGTGTGTCCAATCACAACCCGAAGGGCAGCTACTCCTTTCTATGATGCTGCAGTACTTCTTCCAGCTTTCAAGTTCAGTGATTCTATTTTTTTTTTCAGACAGAGTCTCACTCTGTCACCCAGGCTGGAGTACAGTGGCATGATCTCGGCTCACTGCAGCCTTCACCTCCCGGGTTCAAGCCATTTTCCTGCCTCAGCCTCCCAAGTAGCTGGGATCACAGGCATCTGCCACCACACCCGGATAATTTTGGTATTTTTAGTAGAGATGGGGTTTCTCCATGTTGGCCTCGAACTCCTGACCTCAGGTGATCTACCTACCTTGGCCTCCCAAAGTGCTGGGATTACAGACACGAGCCACCGCGCCCGGCCAAGCTCAGTGTTTCTAATCGATGAATGCATACAGGCCAAGGTCTGGGTCTCATTCTCTGGCATCCCCTAGAGCCCAGAGGGCCTGGCACATAGTAGGTGCCCAGAAAAGGGCTGCTGGGGGTTGGCCTTGATATGAATTCATTAGCTCCTTGCCTGCTCAGTTTCAGTGACTTTAGGACCTGGGTATAACTCTCAGCTCTGGTGTGTCCTTGCTGCATGTCAGTGGGCAAATCACCTTCTCAACTGGAGCCATGCTTCTGCACACAGGTAAAATGAGGTAAACAGCCCCTATTTCTGAGAAAATCCACGTAAACCTCTTAGCCAGGAAAAAGAACCTTTCTTCTTTTGTTGGTGATAGTGACCAAAGAGGCTGTTACATGCCTGAGACCTCCTGTCTGGATTCCCAGGAGGGTGACATCAGCACTTGCTAACTGCGTCCAGGGCAGGTGGATTCGCTGGATTCTGGCAAGGCCATGCTTTTCCTCATGAGTGCGTACTTTTCTGTGGATGCATGTCCTTTCCACACATGCACAATCCGTAGCTGAATGTCCCCCAGGTTGTCCTGGTTCAGAGGACTCACTCCACAGGGTATGTGTGCACACAGCATAGTAAAAAAAGGTCAGGATGTGGAGTGAGAACAACTAGGGCTTGATTCCTAGCTCTGCCATTCACCTGAAGTGTGACCTTGGGCAAGAAACTTAACAGAGTGTTATGATGTGTGCATGTAAAGCCCAGGGCCTAGGCCAGCATAGGTGTTCAATAAACAGTGACCACTGCTATGGGCAGGGGTCTTTCATTCATCTAAGTTCCCCACAAATTTAGCAATGGCACCTCCTAGCAATCCCAGGAGGGGTTGCTATCTACTGTTGCATGAGCTCACATGCATGCAGTGTGTGTGTGAGAGAGTCTTCTCATTTTATTGAAGATTTAAAAAACAAACACACCCCAAAACAAACCCAGTGACTTAGAGAAGTGAAGACCTCATAACCAGTCAGTTGTTAACTAAGATGAGGACCCTAAACTCCTTCCTGCCCCATGCAGTGTCCCTTCTCCAACAGGTGTTTATACACTTACATGGGCTCCCAACTAGGGGGAAGTACCTATCCCTCCTTCCCATGTGTCCCTCCAGGTCCTGAAGGCCCCTTAGGCATCCCTGGACACCACCAGCATGGCAGAGAGACTCAGCTGGGTTAATTACATAACCAGCACAGGCAGGTGGGGAGTGGGGAGTCCTAGGGGAGGAAGAGAGGGCAAGGAACGCCAAGAGGAGTCCTGGCCTCTCTCTGGGTGTGGCAGCTCAGAGGTTTCCAGGATGCATCCTACCTGCAGACTGTCCCGGACACCACACTCCCTGCCCAGAAACCAGCCCTTTCTGGGGAGTGGCAGGGAAATGCAAGAGGGGCACTGCCTAGGAGCTAGGGAAGGGGCGCAGGAGGCCCCTAGGCTGGGGCCAGCCTCCTGGAACTCACCAGGCCCAAGTGTGGCCCTGTCCCCAACTCAGAAGCGATCGGTGCCCCTTCCTTCTTTCCAGGCAGAGGTCCTGGATCTAAGAGTATATTAATCCAACACCCTTGGCTGCGTGCGGAAGGGAGGGGGCTGTCCCAAGAAGCAGGGCCCAGGCCCCTGAGCGCTTTCTCCCCAAGGCCTGCTCTCTGCAGTGAGTCTGCAGACAGCGCCCGGCAAGAGACCGCCCGGCAAGAGAGGCAAGAGACCAGAGACACACAGAGGGGGCAAAGCCTAGTTCCGTCCCCTTCCCTGCGCCTGGACACCTGGGTCGCTGCCCAAGACTGACAGCGGGGGCTTCGCGGATCCAGAGGGCCGGGTCACAAGTCTGCCAGCTGTTTGTTCCAACCACGTTCGCCTGGAGGTGGGTTAGGGGGCGACAGAGGATGCTGCGCTCCCCATGACCTGATTGGTAGGAGTTTGGGGGGGATGTAGAAGCCCAGCTCGCTCTCCGCCTCCAGCACCTTGCAGGCACCCCCACCCCCAGCTCCAGCTCTCACGTGGCGGCCCCGCACCGCTTCCCCGCCAGCCCGCCGGCCCCCTCCTAGTCCCGGACTCCCTTCGCCCCGGCCGTCTCCTCCTCCCCTGACCCCGGCCCGACCCCCCCCAGCCCCTGCCCTGGCCCCGCTCCACCCCTGACCGCTTCCCCTCCTCCCGCCGCTTACCCGGGGCCGTCCTAGCTGCCCCCTGCCCTGGCCGGCCGGTCGGCGGGGCTGCGCTCCCCCCGGGCTCTGGCGCTGCCCCCCGGCTCCCCCGCCCGGGGGGAGAGAAGTGGGGGCGCCCCCGCCTGCCCAGTCGGGGCGGGCTCAGGGCGGGCGCGCGGGGGCAGATGCGGGCCGCCGAGGGGGTAGGAACCTCCAGCCCCAGCTCTCCCTCCGGAGCGCGCCGCCCGCTCGCGCTGGAAGGAGGAGGGGGGCGGGGGTGCGGGCTGGCATTCCGCTGGGTCCCTGAGCCTGACATATTCGCTAGGGCGGCCCTGGATGAATTATTTAATCCCTGGCCTCGACCTTCACACCCCTCCAGACTCTCCCTGCGAGAATTTAGCTCTAACCTGGAAGAGATGAAGAAAGGCATGGGAAAGCCCTCAAGGCCTTTGCTTCATTCCGACTCTTGGCCTCATATGCCCCTGGCCCAGGCCTGTAACCAGGCCACTGTGTGCCCTGCACTGTGTGCCCTGCACTGTGTGTTAGAGACATCCAGGCTCTGCTCTTTCACCCTCCTCAAGGGCTTAGCGAAGGGTGATCAGTGTCACCCTTCACTGACGCAGTGAAAGGCAGAGCTGGCTGGCACAAAGCAAGGTCTCCCCTGCCAATGGGTGACCTCCAGACCCCTAAAACTACCATAGATCTCTTCTCTCCAGAATGGGAGATACCAGCATTTGTCAGGATTGAGGGCAAATCACCCAGGTATTTATTCTAACACTCATCATCGTCTAACCTTTGATGATCAATGTCATGTCATAATCAATGTCATCACTGATAGGCAACCTCTATTTTGCCGGTGTGCTACGAGGTTTGCATGCATCCTCAGATTGAATCCTCACAATTCTATGGGGTAGATTGTTTCCCCCACTTCACTGATGAGATAGTTGAGGTTCAGAAGCTTATCTCACTTAGATGTAAAATGTGAATACAAGGATTGAGAGTCACTAGCTGAGCAGTCACTGATGAGTTTGGTATGAGGCTCACAGTCCAATGTGAGACCAAAAGCAGATACACAACATTAAAATGTGCTGTGTGCAAAGTCAAAGTTCTGCGGAGGGCAGGGGAAGTGGGACAACTCATTAGAGGAGTCACTGAAGCTTCGCAGGAGGCAACTTTCAAGGAAGCAACCTTGAAAGAAGTAGATTTTGGGGGCTCGGGGAGGGAAATTGTAGCCGAAGAAAGCTACAGAAGTTGGCTGGGCGCGGTGGCTCACGCCTGTAATCCCAGCACTTTGGGAAGCTGAGGCAGGCGGATCACGAGGTCAGGAGTTCAAGACCAGCCTGATCAACATGATGAAACCCTCGTCTCTACTAAAAATACAAAAATTAGCCAGGCATGGTGGTGCGCACCTGTAATCCCAGCTACTTGGGAGGCTGAGGCAGGAGAATCACTTGAACCTGGGAGACAGAGGTTGCAGTGAGCCGAGATCAGGCCTCTGCACCCCAGTCTGGGGGAAAAAAAAAACCCCGGTCCAAAAAAAAAAAAAAAAAAAAAAAAAAGAAAGAAAAAAAGAAAGCTACAGAAGTCAAGAGCAATTACATAGGCTTGAGAAGTGAGTCTGGGAACCAGACAGGAGCCCACAAGGCTGGAAGCATGGTGGGTGAAGAGGCCAGAAGTTGGTCACAAAGTCCCTGATTGACAGGATGAGGAGTTCAGATCCAGCCCTGTGCTACACAGGAAGTCATTGATGAGGTTTTTTTTTTTTTTTTTTTTTTTTTTTTTTTTTTTGAGATGGAGTCTTGCTCTGTCACCAGGCTGGAGTGCAGTGGCACAATCTTGGCTCACTGCAACCTCTGTCTCCCGGGTTCACGCGATTCTCCTGCCTCAGCCTCCAGAGTAGCTGGAACTACAGGCGCGTCCCACCACACCCAGCTAATTTTTGTATTTTTAGTAGAGATGGGGTTTCACCATCTTGGCCGAGACGGTCTCAATCTCTTGACCTCAGGTGATCTGCCCGCCTCAGCCTCCCAAAGTGCTGGGATTACAGACATGAGCCACTGCACCCGGCCCTACGGAAGAGTTTTAAAGCAGGGAAAGTGCCTGATCAAATTGCATTTTAGAGCCTCCAGGGCAGGAGGAGGAGCAGGAGCACGAGAGATATCCCAACTGTTTTTACCCCTGGGACGCTGCATCCTCCACTCTGACCTCCTATTACTGTGTGCTCCCAAACAGAACTCAGTTTTCCTCCACACTCTGACCTCTGCATTTTGGGCACCCTCCCAACTCCTCCCTTCCTTCTCCTGTTCAGTCACAGAGGAGAATGGGTGTGAGCCTGGGCTTCAGTATCAGACAGAGCTGGATTTCAATCTTGGCTCTGCCACTTGCTATTGTAACTGAGGCAAGTAACTTGAAGTCTATAGTCTCATTTATTAAAAGGAGTGTGATTAGTTGTCCCTCACTGTTGTTGACAGGGTGTAGATGAGCTGAGGTGTGTAAAGTCCTTAACACAATGCCTGGCATGTCAGCACGGGGCCTTTATTTTTTGCCTTTTTTAGGGACACGCAGGCATCCTAGGGGAGGATGAGCATCACCGTGGCACAGCGGTTCCATTTATTCTAGGTAGGCTCCCAGAGGGTTGGGGTGGAGGTATGAAAGGACCAGGGCAGCAGTTAGAACCAAGTATAGGGCTGGAATGAATTTGGCTTCCTCCTGGAACACCACTTTTGGGGAGAATAAATCAGATTTTACCTGGCCCTGTGGGATCACATGGGGTCGCTAAGAGCCTCTTGATTGCATCACTTATCCCTCCACTGTATCTGAAAATCTCTAATCGTCACCCTGCCCGAGGATCCCAGGCTTTATGTCTGCTCCCCCAGGCTGTGGGCTTCCATTCCGAAGGTGGACTAGAAGGAATAAATTAAAATACACTGGGCGCAATGGTTCATGTCTATAATCCCAGCACTTTGGGAGGTCAAGGGGGGCAGAATATTCGAGCCAAGGAGTTCAAGACCAGCCTGGGCAACGTGGTGAAACCTCGTCTCTAAAATACATACAAAAACAGCCAGGCGTGGTGGTGTGCACACCTGTAGTCTCAGCTACCTGAGGGGGATCACTTGTGCCTGAGAGGTCAAGGCTGCAGTAAGCAGTGATAGCGCCACTGCACTAGGGAAACAGAAAGCCACAGGTTAATTATGGGACCTCATACTGGCCTTCAGTGAAAGGTCATTTAAAGGATTATTTTTATTTAAAAAAGCAAACAGCAATTCCATCTACATAAAGTGGAAGATTTGCCCGAAGTTAGGATACAGATATCATCTTGGTTTGCTGAGAGTCACTTTGGCCTAAGAACATGCACCCCTAGGGGCCTGTTCACTCTCCCCTATCATTAGGAGCACTTTGATGGGAACATGTGAAAAGACTCTGTACTTGGGTCTGACCTTGAGCCTCAGATGGGTCTGGCTCAGCTGAGGATGCCTGTTGGCTGAGGTGCAAATTCAGGGAGCAGACACATGGGACCGCCTGCAGTAGCTGAGGCCCACAAACGAAGTGGGATAGAAGTGTCAAAGACCCAAACCTGGCCGGGCGCGGTGGCTCAAGCCTGTAATCCCAGCACTTTGGGAGGCCGAGACGGGCGGATCACGAGGTCAGGAGATCGAGACCATCCTGGCTAACACAGTGAAACCCCGTCTCTACTAAAAAGTACAAAAAACTAGCCGGGCGAGGTGGCGGGCGCCTGTAGTCCCAGCTGCTCAGGAGGCTGAGGCAGGAGAATGGCGTGAACCCGGGAGGCGGAGCTTGCAGTGAGCTGAGATCCGGCCACTGCACTCCAGCCTGGGCGACAGAGCGAGACTCCGTCTCAAAAAAAAAAAAAAGACCCAAACCTGCCTACCTCTGCCCCTGCTCCATCATAGCTGAGGATCCTACTGAGCTTTTAGAGGCTATCTGGCCAGATCCTGGGGTTTCCGACCATAAGTGAAGAGTAAATGAAACAAGGGAGGGTGAGCCAAAGGCTGGACTTGAGCATCATCCTCTAACATCTACCCGGTGGGAGAAGTGGGATGAGTGGAGTAATCCCAGCCCCAAAGCATTGAGAAATGATCCCAGAGATGGCAGTCTTGTCTCAAAATGATACTTTTGGAAACAGCCCTTGCAAGCACTTTTCCAGCTGAGAATCTGGGTCTAACCAACCCCCAAATTAGCCTTCCCTTTGTTGGCAGCATCAAACACGGCAGGGCAAAAGCTAAATGAGAAACTGAGATGGTAAGTTTGGAGCCAACTCGGAAACTTTTCAAGAAACATCCTTGTTGCTAATAACATGTCTGAGGGCTGGTTGGGATTCTAGGATTAGTGTTCAGGAGATAGAATTGGGTAACAACGGGGGAGGTGTGATCTTTTCCAAGTGCCATACCAGGTATTAAAATAAACAGGCTCTTGCCTCCTGGAGCTGGGGGTGGCAGGGAAAAAGAATCTGGGTCTAAGCAAAACCAGAAAAAGCATTAATGCATGAAGTGGGAGTAGAAAGCCCAAACCTGTGAGTCCTCAGCTGTTTTCTGACCTCAGAAACAATGTACCTGAGATCTCAGTGTTTCCTAGTTGTCACTTTACAGGCAGAGAAAGACAGTGTAATCTCAGGTGCAAGTCTGGGACCAGTGTGCTCTGAACATACTGGTATCCTGGGGGCTTAGCAAGGTGGGATGTGGCTGAGAGCAGAGGTAGGAGAGAACCTATTACAGAACCTCCAGTGGACGAAGCAGGAAGCTACAGGGTAGTTCTAAGGACGCAGAGAGGGAGTCAGAAGACGTGGCTCTGTCACATCTCATCTGTAAACTGGAGATGAAATTAAATTCATGAGATAGGTAAGGGAATAAGCTGGTATTGTACATATGAAAGTGCTTTAGCCATTTTTCAACTGCCACAGAACATGAGTATTACTATAGAAGACGAAGTAGGCGAACAGGTGTGAGCCTCTCTCTGGCAGTGATTCTTGACCTTGACTGCAAGTTAGAAAACACCTGGGGAGTTTTAAAACATGTTGATTCCCCCAGGTCCCATTCCAGACTGAACTGAACCATGTCTTTTTCGAAAGCTCTCCAGGTGACATTAACGTCATTCTTAACTGGCGACCCCGATTTGACCCCACTCTCACCAAGCGTTTTTCCAATTACAGTCAGGGCCAACTGCAGCCGGGCAACACAGAGACAACCAGAAAGTTCCCAGCTGCCAAAGGCAGTTTGCTCATGGGGTTTGGACATCCAAGTAATAAAGGC